TGTGTGACCACATCTCACGGCTTACTCACCATTCCGGAACTTCAACGCGATGAGCCAGCGTACGTTCATCGTTTTCCGGTTATCTTCGCAGGCTGTTCGTCGTGCGTTACTGTTCCTTCGCCGACCGCATACCTATTATCGACTCGTCTGCCGTTACCTTTATACGACGWGTACTACTGTATTATAGTACTTCTACTGTCACATACTCATCATACCTCTAATCCAGTGTTGTGTATGCCGTTGTGACGTTACGTCGTTATAAGCGCAGTCATTCCGTCGTCGGTTGTAATTTTAAGTTACGATTTAGTGTCGTGCGCTCATGTAGGTAGTAAACAAAGACATCGATTACCCACCCACCATGTTTGATTGAGTTTGCTGTTGTCCGCCGGCATGTTAGTACGTACAACGATAATAGTTATTGGCTTATTTGCATTGTGAATTTGACATTTGTGTCCTACGTGAAGGTGGTGAGTGCGATGAGTGCGTGCGATTTCTATCGTGATCAGAATTATTTGCGCAGTGCGATGCTTCCGATGCGACAAAAACATAACCGTTTTGTTAATAGTCGCAATTGTCAGATTCTTATAAGCCACATTAATATTTCTGTTATTTAATTATTCAAAATTCGTTCAAGTATTATATACGTGTGTTACAATAACATGTAAGTAGTATATACCATGTATAATGTTTATTGTATAATTACATTTTGTAACCTACAGCACTTATATATAATAATAAATGATATAATGTGCTACATCCCTATATTATATATATATATATGTAGCTGTAGCTCGTGTAATTTTAGTAAAACTGACAAAAGGTTTTTAAGATTTCCCTTTTTGCTGATTACACATCAGAAATGTTAGAAATCACCAAAATTAAAATTTTAAACCAATACAAACCACAATAAATTATATCCATAAAAATGTTTGCCTGAAGTTATAGGTAATTGTGTTTAATAAACTGTGTCTTTATTGATCCATTGAACTCTAGGATTTAATTAGGTATTGCTAATATCATAAGTTTATAAGAATTTAGATTTTGTTTGTTTGCTTAGTTTAAAGTTGTTATGAAATTGTTTAAAAGTCAATTTACTTTATTTTAATTAACCATAATTGAAAAACATAAAGCAGCAAAATACATCTAAAATTATACAACACAATTATATATTTACTTATTATAGAAATAATAGTATAAATACTTCTTTGCTCATCAAGAGCTATGATTTAAGAAATTATAGTTTCCCAATGAGCTATGATAAAATATGGCCCATGAAATCAATCCAAAAAAACTCAATACTAGTCTACTGGTGCTCATAGTTGATATTTTTATAAGTAACTTTATGTGTCAGTTGTATTCAGTAGTCATGTTCCCATGGAATGATTTTGTAGGTATCCTTAAAATTTTTATAGAAAGATATGAGGATTATTATGTATTTTTGTTGTTTCTGTATTTTAAATTTTACAGAAAGCTTAAATTAATTTTTAAACTTTACTTGTAGTTTGTCACATTTCAACTGTAGACTAAAAGAATGAAAATAAAATAATTGTAAACAAAAATGTCTAATTCTGTGCTCCAATGTTATTTATTTAATACACATTGAGAAGAATATAATATAAACATATAAGTTACAATGATACATGTTAAATAAATTATAATTGGATACACATTCCTAACTTCTAATATAAGTTTAATGGTAGCTTGAAGATTTATAATAGTTATGTAGGCATAAAGAATTAAGAAAATGGTTTTACCAAGTAGTATGGGCAAGGTTAAAATTGTTTGAGATTTGTGATGAAAATAATATTTTTCATATTTCGTCTATACACAAATTTAATAATATAGTTAAAATAATATTACAATAGATTATAATACACACATAAGAATGAGCCCAGTCTTCTAATGCAAAATAATTTAAATTTAATAAAAACTTAAAAATAATTATAAGATATTTGGAACACAAAAAAAAAAATTCTGACAAACTTTATTAAATTTTACTATTATGCTGTATCCGTAAGCTCAGAATCATCATCTATATCACCATCAGCTGGTACATTTGGTGAATGTACATTGGACAGCAAATCTCTCATGGCGTCTAACAAAGAGTTGACACTTTGACGTAAATCACTTCTCATTTCTTCAATTTGCTCACCGACCATTGTTATAACAGGTCTTGCAACAGCTTCAGCCTCAGCTGCTAATTCTTCGTCAACATTACTGAAAGTTAAAGATAACACACAATGGTAAAAAACAGTATTTTTTGTGATAGATACAATTTTGATAAATTACCTTTCATCAGAAAGGGCTTGAAACACAGGGTTTAGTGACCGGAAGAATGTAGAGAAAAGTGAATGATTTTCCACAGCCGTTCTACTGATGCTTTCATGATGTGATCTGGAATTGTAAAATGATGTACCATCTGGCGGAGGAAACGGATCCATAATGAGAATTGGATTTGTTACCGCCTAACAACAAAACATAAATTAGAGAACCACTAAATTTATTTGATTGAAGAATATATAATTTTTTTTTATTATTCAATATTAGTAAAAGAAATATCAATAAATAAAAGTTATGTTTAATAGAACTGCCTTGATTACTACTATATTTTAGTAGATTTCTATAAGTATAACATAATACATAACATTATTAATTTTACTGAAAAAGGAAAGAACATTCATCAAATGTGTTTAGTTTATTGGTTTCTAATTTTTTTAAATTCATACTTTTTATTTTATTTTAGAATTATTAAGACTTAATACTTTAGTATAATTAACTTCGAAAACCATTTGTATATTTTTTTTTATGAATAATCTTAATGTAATTAGTAATTATGTTAGGTTAGGTTAGGATACTGAAATTTATTTAGACTTTAAAGCATGGACCAGAAGCCTACTAAAATGAATCATTTATGTAGCTAGTGTAATAAATTATTAATTCAACATACACCGAACATTAATGTGCTCGTTATCTTGGAAAATATTAAACTATTTCTTGAACCATTTCCATAAATAGAAATTTGTGTAGTGTACTATACTTTACAGTGTTTAGAAAAGTTTACTTTAAACTATAGTTTGTTAAACATTATTGATTATTGCCATATACAGTTAAAATATTAATACACATCTATATAGTATATATAACTTATATATCCTAAAAAATTAAATTTTTTGTGGTTTTTGATAACATTTCTATTATAAGTATGGCCTATCATAGAAATATGATTGCAGACTCATGCAATAAGGGTGTTAAAAACGACACATTTTAGCACAACACATGCTCTCAGAAAAACTTTCACCCCTCATTAATTTTTTTTTTCTAATTGAAAAATTAATTTTATTTAAGTTACATTAGTTATAATTAAAAAAAATAGATTTACAGAAGATATTACACATCTACATACAATACACATCTTTGAAAATTTTTGTAGCATCTTTTTTTAAATTTTTAATCTAGATTTTATACAATCTGTACATAAAAAAAATGTATAATAAGCATAAATTATGTTATTTTTTTGAAATTATATATATGTAATAGCTTGAGTGTCTAGAGGGAAGAACCAACCAGCGAAGGCACTTCGGTGTGAATTTACAAATTATTTAGGTTTTTTTTTTGTAGCATTAATTATAAAAAATCAGTCCGATGAAAAACCTATCCAAAAATAGTTTATTTCAACCAAAAAAGAAAAGGATCAAACTAGATTATTTTATATGTAACATTAAGGTTTTCCTGGTAATTTCTTGTTATTCCAACTATCTTCTGTCAATCATTGAATATTTAAAATTTTTCAATCTAAAATTACCTCAGCTGGAGGTGCAATTGTGTCACTCATGTCTGACAACAACAAATGTCTGTGTATATTCAATGGTGGTTTGGCACTGTATAAAGTCGCTCGTAAATTTTCCATGTTTTTTACTACCGGGTCCTTAGCATCAACTCTATCAAGTACAATTTGTACATTGCGTTCAAGCCATGGTAACAGTTGAACTTCTTTCCATATATGATAACTCCTCGTTACATACATAGATATTAAATAAGATAATGATTTCGGTTGTCTATAATACCAAATTTTCAAAAATTAATGAATGGTAAAACAATTATAATGTGTTATATCTATTAAATGATAAATTTAATACATAAATAAAATGTAAACATACGTTTCAGTAGCATAAGTTGTGAAAAAAGAATGTGCATTGACTCGTTTATCAGCCTGGATGGAACACTTTTCTAACAAAGGTATTAGAACTCCAGGAAACATCATTAATGCTTCTTGTAATAATGTATGTGCGGTTTCAACATCACCTTTTTGCCATTTAGCAACAGCAAGAGAAAACTTGATATTAGGAAGCTGTGTTAGATTTCTTGCAGCATCAAAAGCATTCACGAAATGAATGAACCATGTATATTCAGAAGAACGTAAAGCGTAAAAATCGATACATAGTACTACAGCAAGAGGATCATCCATTGGAGATAGAGACAAAAGAAGTTTGCAGAATTCCAAAGCTGTGCGATAACAAGCTCTAAGTCCAACAAATGTTAAATGTCTGTATAAAGTCAGGAACAACGCTCTAAAATCAACAATAATAAATACAATTATAACTTTTATATTAACACATATTATACATTTTTTTTAACACTAAATATTTATAAATGCATATAAAAATAAATATGTTTCAGAAAATGTCTGATCAGTAATCACTATATAATTCATTTTTTGTTTTTAATTAACCAATAATTTTCGATAACCTAAAAATTTACTTGCAACTTTATTTTTATTAGAGGTGAAAAAATTTTATCAAATGACAATTTGAAATTATATTTACTATTAAAAGATAGTTCTATACTAATCGTCATTAAGAGTACCTACGCTATCTACATAAAGATTTGTCAACTGTAATTATCTAGAAATTTTAACATCATTAGGACCAACATTTTGTACCTCAGATTTATTGTTCTAGTTAATCCATCTAATATTTTTTAAGGTTCAAATAAAAACCTAGGTATGAAGATAATCATAAGTGTGCACAGACATTATCAGCATGGCAGAGATAAACATTGATAATAGCTAATAAGTATTCACATTTATATAGCAATCATAGTCAATTAGTTTTTAATTAATCAACTATGGTATTCAGTGGTTACTTGTCAACATACTCTTATATCTAGGATATATAATTACATTTCTTATATTATATAAGAAATATTATTTTCATATCAAATGCCAACAGTTAGTTTTGTCCATTACATAGTTAATACTATTATTATAAACCTATTGCATATATAATATTGTAATTGTGTACACATAAAAACAAAAATGTTCACAAACTAGTCAACTACTAAAGTTTAGTTCGACTAGCTAGGGTGCACTCTTATGATAGTAATTATGTAATAACATCGTCAGGAATTTGAAATTGAAATTTTAATGGATATTTTAAAAAATGTCAGCAGTAGTTAACTAATCAATAAAAACTTGACATACTTATGGTATACATATTTTTTAAATTAAATTAAATACCTATTTTCATGTAAACGGTAGTCTAAACGACATTTTCCATTTGACAAACTAAACATGGGGTGGAATGAATTTTCTAATGAGTACAATGCCTGTTCTGTAAGTTCAGCTGCAACTGGCAAGTCTTCACTAAGTCGTGCCCATTCTGTCATTTGTAACAGTACATCAACGTGATATGGATGGTTATTGATAATATTCTAAAATTAAATAAACATAAATGAAAAATCTTATTTTATAGTTTAACCTAATTGAAACCAACCACCAGATTTCCCGATGACATATGAGACACAGCTGTATAGAGTTGCGTCTGAACTTGTTGATATTCTGGACTATGTTCAAAGGCGAAATACATAATACCATTTTTGCTTTCCAAATATTTCATTGTTGAACCTATAATTTATTGTTATTTTTATGTGACTTAAACAAAAATGTTACTAGAGTACTAATATAGGTACCTGATTTGCCGACAGGTGGCCAATTGTCTTTAGGTGTAACCAACCATGTGGTTTTCAAATGATTTCTTCCTCTAAACTTACGTTTGCTAAAAATTAAAAACATGTCTGATTATATTTTAATTCGCTTATTAGTTATTGGTAAGTATCTATTGAATTAGAGATTACATATTAAGTAGGTAGATTAGTTTATAACAACACAACCTAAATTTATATCTCATTGATATGCTTTTATACAAAACCGAAAACGCTCATACAAACATCTGTATTTATACTACCATTACAGTTTATTTAAAAATAAATTAAAAACATTGAAAATAACATTATGCATGATACATATAAATATGTTGCATTTTAATAATCAATATAAAGCTATAGAAAATTAAATTACATAGCGTAGATTTTAAAATGTCTTATAATACTTAATAAACTAAAWTGTTTAATTTAAATGCTTATTGCTTATTAATAAAATAGTTTTATTATAAGTTGATATTTTCATACTAAGCCATGTATTTTTTGAAAATAATAATAATATAAATATAACAGAAGCTAACCTATCCTTAGATATAGAATTCTCTGTCTCCTCCCTGAAAATCACGTTTATGTATTTAATGATTTATTATTGAATTGAAAATTTAATATATCATTACAGTTTTTTTTTTGTCACAAATTCAATGACAAAATTAACTCTGATCATAATATGAAGCAGAGAATGTTATATTTTTTTAGTATTATATTAGATTTAAAACTTGAATATAGTGTTATATTTATAACACTGTTATTTTATGTACCTGTTATTTAAGAAAATTATTTATTTTAACCAGAAAAAAAGTATAAATTAAAATATAATAAGTTATTACACCTATACTCACAAACATATTTAATACATTTATTGTTTTAAATATCATATTATTTGTTTTTATTTGTTAAATAAATTGTATAAAGTATGAAAACCAATGAAATCATTTATTTTTACCTTAGCTCAGCTTGATGAACAACACGTCCAAACATTTTGCGTAGTTCATTATTTGGGTTAAGATTTCTATGCTGTACAGATAAAATATTTTTAAAAAATATAGTTTCACGGTTGTTTAGCATATTCTGAGAAGAAGTAGCTTCATCATCTTCATCTTCACCTTTGTCGGGTACTTCACCCAATATTTTATTTACTTCACGGACACTTCTTTCCACTTCGTCCTTAAGAAGATAATTTTTAACTATAGGTAGTAATATTATTGCTCAATTTATTATTTTCTTACCTCAACATTATCTTCACTGCTGCGAGTGTGTGATGACAATACTTTACCAGACTTCTTTCGCTTTTTCTTCTTTTTCCTTCTAATATTTTCTTTATCGTATGACATGTTTTCATCTTTCTTGTTAATGGAACCAGTAGTCTCATGATCATCGTCTTCTTTGACTTCAGACTCGGACATGGAACCATTATTAAGCTGTAACACAATTGTCAATATAAAAATATCGGATGCAAGTAAAAGTTTCTATTTCGATAGGACATTTTAACTCACCAAGTCATACATATTCAAGTGTCGCTTTTTGTTTACTCCTCCAGAACTGGTTTCGGTATCATCGCTTGCATCGTCTTTAACAGGTGGCAGGTCGCGATCATCCTGCAAGCCCATTTTTCGCAACACCCTCGAAGACATTGTGAATTTGGTAACCCGACTAAAACACTCAGAATTTGTATTCTTACATATTTCGCGATAGCATCAAAAAGGAAACCATTCTTCAATCTGTTTTACGGCGATGGAAATTCTGTAATTGTAATAACTTTTGATAATACAGTGATATTATGTTATAATACTTATTTGGATATTTGTATGAAATCTGTAATTTATAAAGCAATAATAGTTATAATAATAATAATGAAAAACACCAAAAGTCAGTGTCGTGGACAGTGGTAGACGTCACAAATTCACAATAATAATAATTTACGGAATCATTGAATTTGCATCCACACCATTACAATTTTAATGATTGGATTGAAATTTATTTTATCACATATCACAATTATCTCAAGTAACAGCTGGACGTTTTGTTGGTTAGGGTATTAATTTCAGTAAGTCGTAATCAGTGTCGCCAGCGCCTTGACTGATAAGTGATAAACCAGTGATAATCACTAATCAGTATGTTGAAAAATATACTCACGCTTTCACAGTTTTCGAACAAAGTGAAATTGTGTAGCATTCATTCGTGTCAGAAATTGTATTGTCTCAATATGTCCAACGAACAGGAAAAACCTCTAGAAAAGCCGCAGGAGAAGAATTCCAAGGTCCAATTGAAGACGCCCAAAGGTACACGCGACTACGGCCCCGAACACACSGCCATCCGGAATGACGTACTTGGACGGATTACAGAAGTGTTCAAGCGTCACGGTGCAGTCAACATCGACACACCGATATTTGAGCTCAAAGACGTGCTGACAGGTAAGTACGGCGAGGACTCAAAACTCATCTACGATCTTGCCGATCAAGGTGGCGAATCACTGTCGTTGCGATATGATCTTACTGTGCCGTTTGCACGCTACCTGGCCATGAACAAGATCACCAATATCAAACGGTACCAAATTGCCAAGGTGTACAGGCGAGATAATCCGTCTATTACTAGGGGCCGTTACAGGGAGTTTTATCAGTGTGATTATGACATAGCTGGCCAATATGACGAGATGATACCAGAGGCCGAATGTGTATTTGTTGCTGCTGAAATAATGAAAACGTTAGATGCAGGTAACTTCAAAGTGAAAGTCAACCATAGGCTCTTGTTGGATGGCCTATTTGAGTCATGTGGCGTACCAACAGAGAAGTTTAGAACGATTTGCTCTTCAGTAGACAAATTGGACAAGTCACCGTGGGAAGAAGTTAAAAATGAAATGATTAACGAAAAAGGATTGTCTGAAGAAATAGCTGACAAAATTGGAGTATATGTGCAGATGAATGGAACTGATGAACTGGTCACAGCTCTGTTTAAAGACGAACTGCTTACCAAGTCAAAAATGGCAGTACAAGGGCTTGAATCAATGAAACTGTTTTTTGAATACATTAAAGTATTTGGAATTGAAGATCTTGTATCTTTTGATTTAAGTTTAGCTAGAGGTTTAGATTACTATACAGGAATAATTTATGAAGTAGTTTTATTAGATAAAGGCCAATCGGTTGGCAGCGTAGCTGGCGGTGGTCGTTATGATAATCTTGTTGGTATGTTCCATCCAAAAAACAAGACCATACCATGTGTGGGTATATCTATTGGTGTTGAGAGATTGTTCACTGTAATTGAAGCCAAACTTGCCAAAGAGAAACAAAAGATGCGTACTACAGAGGTGCAAGTGTTTGTGGCTGCTGCTCAAAAAAACTTGGTTGAACATAGAATGACAGTGTGCAAAGATTTGTGGAATGCCGGTGTTAAAACTGAACATTCGTATAAGAAAAACCCCAAATTGTTGGTTCAACTGCAGCATTGTGAAGAGAATGCGATTCCATGGGCTGTCATTATTGGTGAAGAAGAAGTAGCTAAAGGTGTAGTTAAATTAAGAAATGTTAATACTAGGCAAGAGGAAGAAGTTAAGAGGGAAGACCTTGTTGATGAAGTATTCAAAAGGTTAAATATTAAAAACTAATATATTTTTTCATAAGTACACATTTCGGTATTAAGTATTTTTTTTTATTTAAGTGGTTTGTTTATGGTTCATTCCTAATAAAAATAAAAACAATCTATTTTTAATTACTTATCTTGTTATTATTGCCTACCTATTACTATTTGGTTTTAATGGTTTTATACTGTAGACTAGTCTATAATCCCAAGTTTATCATGCTTTATATTTATTGAATAATCCCAAGTTTGTCATGCTGTATTATTTAAAATGTTCAAATGCATTATTTAATATGTTCAAGCGTCTAACCTAAATCAACAGTTATTTAAATATTGTCTATACTTAATGTTAGTTACATTAAGTTCATTTTGATAGTTTTACACCATAAAAGATAAAAGAAGTCTCACAGCTAAATTGGAAGATTGTGGTTTAATGAGGACATAAGGTTAATTAAAATTGAGAAATTGTTCAAAAAGTAATCTCAGACTGTCATACCTGGAGATTGATCATATTCTATGAAATAATGTCTAACTAAAAATATTATTATTATTGACATTATTACTAATTTCTGAATACTGTGATATATTAACAGTCTTAATTATATTTGTAGTCGGTGGGTAAAAATAGTTATGATACCCATGTAATTAAACATTGCTGATCATTGATCAACAATTATTGTAGATATATTACTGTATTTTTTTAACGAATGAAAATGCTATGTCGTTATATCGTAAATTAATACTTATACATATTTWAAAAAAAATTAACAACAAAAGACAAAATAATCAAAATATAAAATCATAAAATCATATTGACAGAGAGCATTTTAACAATTTAACTTTAAATAACCCAATAGCATAAACATTATTACTCTCAGGTCATATATTAATATATATATATATATATATTAATGTATATAAGATCTAAGTCATTAATACGATTAATCTTTAAAAAAGCTGGATCGTCAATACTATTAAAAAACGACACGGACTATAATCTATCAAAGTCCGTGGTAACAATAACTGTCTAATACTAACATTTATAATAATTATAAACAAAATATAATAAATAATAAATACCTAATATTATATAAGTACAATCGCATATTGTCATATTGAAATATCAATAATATTATAAGCAGTAAGTAAAATTAAACGTATGTTTGTAATAATATGATTATAATAACATAATGGTAAAAAAGTAAGGTAGATCAAAAAAATTTTGTAAAATTGTCCGCTGAACTGAATACAACATTCGATTCGGCAGGTTAGTGAGTTATAAACAATAGTTATAACAATAGGTTATAAAGTAACATAAAAAAAAGTTAAGTGTTTGCCCAAAAAAATAATAAATAGTTAAATTAAAAAATAAAATAATGTCTTCTGACCGACGACGTAAAATCACAACAGAYTATTATTATGTTATTATAATAATATCTAGTATACAGACTGACAGACTGATTGTTATACATATTGCTAATAATACTTTGGGTGTGTTGAATGTAGATCGTGATGATATGATGTGGACGACTGAATGAAACAATGAAAAAGTATGTGACACTACCTATCTTGTTGTTGCGACCGCAGAAAAGTGTCTACAAAATCAGAAGCAAAGCTATACCACCAACGACCGACATGTAGTACAMTGATCGCGAACACGACACGCCAATCACGATGGTTGCCAATTCGTGCCGAATCCGCAAGCCGTGTCCGAGTCCGAGTCTCCTGCAGTGACGACGATTTCCGCAGATTTCCTCTTGTCTGGTGACCGGTCGGCCGGGGCCGAAGCCCTTCTCAAAAAGTCTTGTGGCCGTTTGGACTTCCTCTTCTTAATCGCAACGCTTTTCGGAGGGGGCATTCTCTTGGCGTCGTTCTGCACCGAACACAAAAATTAATTCGAATTAGTACGCTGCACATAAATTGGAACTAATGATGAAGGCCCATCACAGTTGCACAAGGTCCTGCCCTACCCAATAAACTTGGACTTAGCCTTCAAAAAATTCGTTTACGGGTTTAAAGCTCGATACATTCTTTTTGATATAAAATTTAATTTATTAATTATTATTACATTTTTGCAGATCAACTTTTCTTAGTCAAGTCTAATATAAAATAATAACCGTGAATATTTATAATATTGACTGTTAATTTAATTCGTAACAGCGACGTAACAATTTTGTTGTTAAATTATCGATTCAATTATTTTATACAAATAAAATTAAGATTAATATTGTAATTTAAATTTTTTTAAAATTTTTTTTTTTCATATGTTTGTAAGTATGTGATACAACTGATTAATCATATATTCGTATGAGTTAAGATTGTGTGATGATAGTTTTATAAATATTTTTTTATTTTTTTTTTTTGAGCTTTTAAATTCCTGCATCAAATATACGAAATGATATAACGTTACAAGAACTGTACAATCGAATAATAATATTGTAGGGAACAATAATAATAGTTGACGTGACGTGGAGTTCAATTTAATATTCAGAATTTATTTATTTTATTATTTATTAATTTATTATGGTTGCTGTAAATATGGTCGTGCTTTTAGTAAACCTGTTGTATGTTGTCGGCAGAGCCCCAAGTCTTGTGAATCTTTTCCGCGTTGTGTCCGACGCCCAGGAAGTTGCTGAACGCCTCCGTAGTCCGTTTAACGCGCACGTTCAGGGACCCGATCCTCAGAAATCTTAGATCCTTTTCTGCATGCCGAGAAGGAAAAAACGACAAAACGATAAAACGAAACCGACGAGACGATTTTTTTAGTAAAAAAATTACTGCAGCTTGTTTCGCATATATTACACACACATATATATATATATATATATTAAATATTAAATAAACATTTTAATAAACAGAGATATTGGATGCAATAATTTGAGTTTACAGACTAAGCTGTAAAAAAATGTGGTTTTATTTGAGTATACATATATATATGTATATGATATTGCATAATGCACTGCAGTGTAAATAATATAATACATATGTTAGAGAAGTGCCATTTCTTAGTGGGTTAGGCCGCTAAAAAACAATGCCCATTTTATCTGGGTCGATCTTAATCAAACATTTTCCACAAAAAAACTATAGCCAACAGTTGGTAAAGAAATCTTCGTTAAAATAATCGAAAATGAAGAAATATCAATTAAAGTYGAATAATAGAAAACATAGTGAAATTAAAAAATGTACGGTCACACTTTACGCCTTAAAAAGTTGTACTCAAAACCTCAAGTAATATAGGTGCAAAAATAAAATCTCGTTCCTTCGCCCAAGAAATGGTACAACTGTTACATACTATTATTATTTATGTATTATATTATTATGTGCTATACGTGAAAACATAAAGCGATTRGATGCGCTCAAGACTTACCCATGTGTTTGTGTTTTCGGGCGTTTAGTTCTGCAAACAAACAAACACTACAGTATATTATGAACGAAAGTACAAAAAACGAGACAAAAACAAAAACGTGTCTAGATTTAAATTGGAGAAAACTCGATCGGAAACGTAAGACGATATAGGTATGRAATGTATGGATATTATTAAAGTGGACAGAGACTGCGGTCTGCACTGTGTTAACTAATTGTCTAACCGACGAGCCATTCGTGCGTGTATATACATTGTACATATTATATTACAGTAGCTATACATGCGCATATATTGTTTTCAGCAAACTTTTAGCCGAAGAGCCTTGTTATAATATTTCGTGAAAGTTTCTATAGAAGAACTGTTTCTGGAAGTAGCAGTAACATATACTATTTTAATACAGCGTGCGCGATTTGTATAATTGCATAGTGTCAGTTCAATGTACATAATATTATATATTATATATAGTAATATGCGAAGAAATTACACATATTACTATTATACATTTATATACATGCACATATATATGCTGCATAGCCGCATAGGTTATATACGCTTGTAATAATATATTATAATGTCTTTGTGTTATGCGGAGCCGAGTATTGTTACAAGAGAGCATAGCACAATGATAATAATAAAATTTAATTATAATAATATGTAGACAAAATGAAAGCCACACCACTCTTATATAAAAACTATACTTGCCTTTCCGCGTCCAACAGCCCTATAAGCAAAACAAATAAGTACGGTTAAGTATTGTCGGGTTTCGTCAAACACTGTACATATTGTGTATTTTAAGGAAGATGATAATAATACAAAATGATCTTAGTATGGGAAGATAATATTACTTATTATATACATAATAAACAATATATTATTAAAATGCCAAGTCCGGCGCGCGTAGAAAATTAATTCAACAAATGCGAATAACCTGCAAACGAATTATTCGTTTCGTTTTCGGCGCGCGAAATATTGACACTGGTCCGAAACACATAAAATTAGTATTGTTATAGTATTACGCAATCGAACAGCAGCCGCGTATGCTCTGCACACGCGTACCTTTATTTAATATGATTGTAATATAATAGGAGGTATAGACGTATAGTTATTAGTTATTACAGATGCACTGCTTTGTGGTCATCACAAAACGTGCAACAAAAAAAAAGTGTATTATTAATAATTATTCTATATTTATACAGTGTGACTAACGTAATAAATGTTTAGATTTATGTCATAATATTCATAATAATATGCATRAATCGTTACATTTTAATATTACGGACTGTGATCGGCATGCAGCATAAGTATTAAGTAGGTATTAATAGTAGTGTTATACATGCAATGCAATAATGTTCATTTATAATAATATTATGATATTATATTATAGGATAGAGCATTAGAGCAAGTTGTAAGTTGTTGTGGGTTATAGGATAGGGACAATATGCTCTAAAAAATATTGCACGTGAAATGTACTCGTTAAACCAAACAGTAAACAATGTAGGTTATAAAAAAATCTTAAAATATRTATTTTTTTCACCGAACATATAGCAGTTTCACGGACCGAGGAAAAGATTTTTAACGTCTGCCGCTGCCCGCTGGCAATTAATTYGCCGTAAAACTTTATTAGAAGTATATTGAGTTTTTTAGGCGCTTCATAAACATCTTCTTTTGGATTGGAGTATTATATCTATATTATATTCATCCTAATAATATTTGATTCAAACATTTATAAAAATACATTTTTTTTTTTTTAATATTGCGGAATTAATTTTATCAAAACACTTATCTGTACCTCTAATTTTCGTACGTATATTTGAAATTATTCGTGTAACGAGTACATTTACATAAATCGTCATTTTAAACCAACCAAATAATACAAACACAATAACAAGAATTCAGTTACAAAGTAGGTAATTAAAGTATAATGATTGTTGTTTTATTTTTTCTTCTAAAACTTCTGAAGATAACTTTTTACAGAGATCAAAAGAGAATTAAAAAACATTTTTTATCTTAGGTATTTCGTATAAATACGCATTTTTATAGATTTTTATACATAWACTTTAAAAATAAAAGGACACAAAATATATTTGCTCTATAATTGTGTACAAAAAAATCTTAGTATTATCTACAAATACTAATATATATTCAGATAGACCGAAAAATTCATATAATTGGATAAAGATAACCAATGACATGTAAATATTAAAAAGTACCTACCTAAAATTCAGAAATGTGAAAACATCGAAGTTAATCAATAAAACATAAACAATTGATTAAAAATAATAGATTTAAGAATAAATGACTTACAATATTGTATATATATATATATATATTTTTTTTTATTACCATTTAAGTAGTGGTATTTTATAATAATAACCTACCAACATTATAAAATTATGGTTAATTTTGTTATTGTTAAAAAATTGTTTAGAATAAGGAGGAATTTACGTATACCTATTAGTTATCTAATATTGATTTATTTTCATTATAATAGACTTAGTTTAAATAATTAAAACAGGTAATAATATAGAGCACATGATAATTGTATATTATTAATTTCATTTTGTTTTTTATCGCACAAAAAGTACAATAAAATTAATAAATATAAATATTATTTATATTATTATTAATATTATTTATAAAATAGCTTTATGTGTCTATTCAAATTAAATATATTATAATAACGAAGATATCTCGTGTACAAGTAACGAATTAAAATCGTTAGTTCTAGAAGATAATTTCAGAAATTAATTTTAAACAATTATTAATTAAAACAATAATACATATACATAAACATAACATTGATAACAATTATTTGATATATTTTAAGAAAATACTCATGATAAATAATAAATTACTAAGATTTAACGCCTTGGCCCGGTAACTATACTACTAAAATATACTACAATCACTACGCATAATACGTGTAAGCAATATTATTATAGGTACTTATATAGTTAGTTTGTGAAAGTAAAATCCATGCACCGCGAAAATACGACACCTTACAATATTATATCACTATAACAGATAAACTACTGTCTACTGCAAAATGCATAGCATATAGACAAATGCAACAGGGGGATTTTTTTGTTTTTGTTTTATTCCACATGCCGCACGTTTTGTATTCTATACAAATACTATTCTTCGAAAAGCGTTTTCTAATGTGATTTACTGCAAAACGATATGAAACGAATGATTTTAAGTTATAATATAATAGGGCATTATAACCGTATTGAATTTAAATTAAACTTTATGACACAGTTTTACAGCGGTACTTATATGGATGTATATATATAAATTACTATAGCAATAATAATAATATAATATCGATTTAGTCAACGAAGGTTACCTATATATGTATCATAATCAGATACTTTATATTATAATATTATATTGTGGTGGCAGCTATTTTATTATATTAAATCAGCTGAACTCGATACGGGCCGACATGTCGGATTACAGAGCAGTCATTATATAATTTATTGAATGTGTGTGTAACGACGATCGGTGTGCGTGTGACAGGCAGGAGGGGTATCGGAGAATAGGGAGGGTGTTTGAGTATGAGGAGGGTGCTGGAGTATGGAGAAGGTGGCAAGGGTTGGAGGCGATGCGTGTGGTATAATTATTATTATTGGTGTGTGTACCTATATAATATACATATTATATGCAAATAGGTAAGACGTTATTGTTCATATTAGATGGTACATTGTGAATAATACATATCGCAAAATGCGTGTTCTGCGAATATATATATATATGTATGTGTGTGTGTGTGTGAACTGTGAATAATAATATTATATCGTGTCGCATTATTATTTTTTATTTTAGAATCAAGACAGGGCGGAGAAGTAGTACAGGGCGGAAGACGGCCTAGCGCTGTCGCCACCACGGTCACCACCACCACAGTGTTTGTCTCGGGCGGATTTGGACGACGGGGTCACTACTTGGACGGCATGCGAGAATGACAAGGAAGACAAGTTGGCGGTTTTTTTAGCGCGCCGCTTCGGTCTCGGCAAAGAGCTGAACAGCAGCAGCTTAGCGGCCGTCGAGGGCTTTTCGCGGGCATACTCACTGCGATATGTGTCCGCCGACAAGCTCGTGTCCTGGTTCGTCTGGTACTGTCTGGGCTTCCGTCCGCTGTAGTCYCGCACGTTCGGGTCGGCTCCTGAATGAACGCGGAAACCACATTTTATTGAAATTATTTTTAATGAGATTATCAAGAGCGCCCGCAGGATAAATTCCCACCAGGGCTGGATATAACAATTATTAACAATATAATATTTTAGTAAAAGTGATATATTGATATTAAATAATATTACAAGTAATTAAAAATTCTAAGAGGGTAATGGCATCTTTGACACCCCTCTCCCACAGTGCGGGCTTCCCTTTTACATCATAGGTACCACATATATATATTTGATTAATAATAATAACTCTTGCCGGACTAACGTTTGCCGTTCAGTCGGCGTTTTTATGTTAAACAATTATTAATTATTAACGGCGTATTTCACTTACCGTACGACTCAACCAATATCTTGTAGATCTCTTCGTGTCCGAACTGCAGGGCTAAGTGACACGGCGTATAACCCTACGGAAATCAATCTTGTCGTTAGAACACGCTATAAATAAGTATTATAATACGTTGTTTTGCCGTCCTACCCACCTAATATTACCTTGAAATAATTTTCAAATATTTAACTGAAATTCAAAATAATGAACATTTAAAATATTTACATCGATTGACTCTATATAATGTACAAAACGGCTATAATTGTTTTTTATAGAACACTGCATGAAAACGAAGATTTGAATTGTCTTATTTTTGATTTTTAGGTAGAAATCGAAAAACTACGAGTACCTATTATGTATATATAATATGCATAATAATTATTGTGGTGACTCTATAATATAAATATCTATGCATTTTTCAAAATCATATTTAGAAATATTAATTAGAAAATATTCGTACACGGATAATGTGGTCATAAAAGTTAAAGAGCTTTAAAATAATATATACTTAGGTTCACCGTTCCCACTCGGGACGTAGGAAAGTTACGGAAATATCCTTCTGTGGGCGACAAACATTTGGCCGCCCCACAAACTCCCGTCTGCAGGCAATAATTAATATGCATAATAATAATACTATTTTACTACCACTATTATTAGGTTTATATTATACATATTATATTTGAAAATAATGTTTGAAGGTGGAGGTGCCATGGCCGAAGGGGCGAAAGGTGTAATGACGAAACTGCATCGTGGCGCATATTATAATAATACGTATTAYATATATAATTATCAATYTTTTATCTAAAGCGTTACCACAGTTACACGCGGCACTTGAATTTTTGAGCAATGTCAGACACAAATCTTAGTTCTGCAACGCATCGTTTTTGTTTGAATTATTACATATTATTGTAGAAATGTGTGCAGAATTAAAAGGGTCACCACCTTTTGCTATAMCTATATATGTTATAATTTCTATAGCGGAAAAGAGTAGGAATATAATATAATATTGCATTTATAATAATAATAGTGAATAAGTGCATCGACGCCCAGGAAGGGGTGTGAACATTATTCAACAACAATAATATCTTTTATGCTAATAATATACACACACAATATACATGTATATATATATATGTATGTGAGTGTGTGTATTATAGTATAGGATATCGTTGTTGTGAGGGTGCAGAATTGTCGCGAGAGTGCTATGATTTGTCACCCTTTCTGATTTTTAAATCGTTTCATAAACGTCCTAGAGGACAATTAAAATTTCGAACAGATGTCGTCGGCCGAGTATTGTATTCTATTTATATATATGGAAATTGAATGAAACGAGCGTACACACTTATAAAAAAAAAAAAATTACAACAGTGTCAAGGGGTTTGTACAAAGAGGGTAGGTATACATATTATATAGTAATATATATGTGATTTTAAATTCTCTCTTGTTTTTCAAATATTATGCGGTTCGTCACGCTTCTCAGTTGTTTATTGTTTAAATGCCAAACCCTTTCTTCGTAGTATTGAAAATTAGTTTTATACTTACTCCATTCTAATTTGTTCCAATTGTTGTGCAAGGATCCATGTAAAAAAAAAAAACAAAACAAAACAAAAATAAGAGCTTGAATTATTATTGAACATTCAGTTGACTCTAGTCGGGATTTCGTTCAGGGGGGTAAACTTTTRAAATCCCAAAGGAACTTCATTTTTCTGTACACACAATGTGGAACTTTTTACGGTATTCAGTCATACCTTCAAAAAGAAAGCATTCTATTTTTCAAGTACGTATATCCCGTATATAGAAATCTCAGATTAAGTTTCGTTCAACTTCAGTTTAATAGAAACCTAAAATATATCGAGTTCTATATAATGTTTTGTTTAATAGGCATTCTATAGAAAKAATTTCAATGAAAATAAGCAGGAAACTATTTCTATATTAGTTACTATATAATAATCATGCTCATGCGGTTGTAGTTGATATATAATAATTATGTTTATATAGGTACCTACAAAATACCTCTAAATACCAGACACTGACACTCTCTGTCCCAGAAACTTTTTCTATTATTAAGATGAGTTATCTGTTATTCGGAGGATTCAGATTGTAGAAACTTTACCATAGTTTATTTCCAAAAAAATGTCCGTTTTTTGAAGTTGGTTACTATAGTAAGACGATTTTCGTTTATAAATTCAGTGGGATGTCATTTTAATAAATCGTTTTAAATTTTAGATTTGTATAGATACATTTTAGGAAAATTTTATCAATAATCGAATTGTAGAAATGGAGTGTTTATTTATTAAAATAATGTTATGCTTAGTTTTCACGACATCGAAATATAGATACACAAGTATTAATAAATTAATATTATCTTAAACCTTAATAATTACAATTATTGAATTGAGAGCGCCGACAAAAATATTTGAAAATGATTATCAATTTTGTACAAAAATTTTGGAGGAAAGTACAATCCATCCGTTTTGTACACACAAGACACAAATACACAACAATATAATATTATTCCGTATTAAACAGATTWTTTTTCATAACATATTTTATGAATATTTATTATATATTTATTACTATAATAATATGTTGAATTTTGAGTGAATTTGGAAGGGAGAGATAAGAGAAATGTACTTTTAAGGATAGTCAGCATTGATAACAATCATAAAACAAATTACGGAAGAATCAACTGTCGCTGTGTCGCGTACAATTTACGTGGATTTAGTATTCTGGGTTTGTTACATAATATTTGGGTACGGTGTTGTTTTTAAGGTACTATTACGACTGTCTTAATGTTCTAATACCGAACAGAATTTTTCTCGTTATTCACCAAATTAAATAACAATATTGTATAGGTAAAATAATATTTTACTAATGGTGATTGGTGACCACATTTATATAACCATCGAGCCTATATAGTGGAATTGTTTAAGCTATTTGTTATAGGCACAAAAACTGTAGTTTACATTGCGGTAACAGATTAATCAGACAGAATACGGGGATAGTCACGCAACAGCCCCTTTACACGGAGACGATGGAGTATTGATAAACGCTGTGACCATAATACATCGATCGCGTTGGAATATTTCAACTTAAAGGTTACCTGTGGGTTGTGGTATCTATTTACTGATCTGATTGTAGACAACACGAATAAAGCAATCACGGAGTATCGTTTCACAATGGATAACCGAAAGCGGCCAAAGTGGTATGGCGCCTTAAACGTTACAAATATTATCGGAGTTAATGGGAATCGAGAAAGAATTTTAGCGAAACAACAACACGCCACGACCTCCAAAACTCGCGAATCTTGTTGCCATTTGCCAATGCATAGTAAATCCCATTTATATTGATAGAAACGTTAATACAATGGGCGTTTTATATGCAATTACATCATATTTTTACACTAGAGTGTTGCTCTAAAATCCGAAACGGAATGCCGGCGGTGGTGCTGCAGCTATGATGGTAAAAATAATTCGGTTCCTCACCGTACTCGATGATCGGTAACACGCGCAGAGATAAAAATGTGCGATACAATAAGCGCCTACGACAGTAAGTTGCCCACGACAGCACACACACACACAGATATAATATAATAATGTTGCGTGTACGGGTTGCAGCAGCAGCGGCGGCGATTTCTATATTTTTTTTATTATAATTATAATTATTTTTAGTTTTACCTCCACGGCACTTTCGTCCCACCCTGCAGTTTTACATGTAAATCGACGAAACTTGGTTAACGGTAGCCGTCGCTAAGATATTATCGCGGTCGCGTATCTGGAAGGTGAATCGATATTCGTCGTAAAAACACCACAGCGTAAGTAGGTATACTACCTACTCGTAGGTATACATATGAGTGTATTTATACTTATGAAATTATAGGTAGACGGTGCAGCAATGTACAACGGAGCCAAAGAGATCGCTTCATAGGATAGTCGCCGGGGGCGTCTCCGTTACGAGGGACGACTTCTTCGCGTTTTTTAGTCCGCCGCAGCAGAAAATAATAAATATCCGAATATTAAAACGAGCCGGCCGCGCGTTTCTCCGGCGGTAAGTCCCTACCCGGAGGACGGCGACGACGATGACGACGATATTATCATTATGTTTGAAAATCGACGACGCGGACAGGCGACGGATATTATAATAATATTACAAAACTGGATACACTACCGAGGACGAGGAGCTGATGTGCGGCGCGCGCGCAAACCGTCGGGTCGCACTATACTATTATATAATTATTATTAAACCGAATCTCTGTATACATATAATTATTGTTATTACAGGAACGCGTATTATTCTACACACACACACACACAAAATATCTATATAATAATGATAATAACAATATAATATGATACATACGTACATAGTACATATTATACGGCACCACCGCGCTTTATAGTATATTATAATGAATAATGTATTATTAAAAATCGTTATAATATTATCGCTATATAGTTATCTCTTGAGTATAGGGAGCTCACTCCGTAGGAATGTTACAGAAATATTATATATATTTTATTATTATATTTTAATATACTAATCGTTTCGAACCTCAGGCAACGTAGGTACATAATATATATAAAATGTAATATGCACAGTACACTGTATACGGTGACTGGCGAGGACCTCAGGAATTCGGACGATTCGCAAAAGTAATCGTTCGTATATACATAAAATATTAACATATAACTATATACAAGTCGTCTYGTCGATTCCAGACGTATGTGTGTATAATATTAAATAGMCATATATGTAGGTAAACACAGAAAGTGTCCAAATGYACCTGCAGCTCTTTTTTTCTGAACGATCGCCAATCACGCGAATTATTGTTATTCCTAACTTCTGTTTACGCGGTYTCATTACACATAATATAGCACAGTATAATATTGCAGAAAAGGTCGGTTATTGAAAGCAATAATGGCTGCAGATTAAAGACATAATATAATATATATAATATATATATGGTATTATGGTAATATAATAGTGGCCACTAGTTCACTATACTATATTGCTATTTGCTGTGATGCGCTACTTTAATAAAATTACCGATGCTTTTACAAAATTCATAAACGTTGCATAATCGTTTTTATTTTRGAAGATAATATCTACAGTATCAGCTTTGATTAAAATAGAACGGATACAGCAAAACTGTGAATTATGCCATTGTCCAAAAAATTATAAAAAATTTTCATTTTTTAAAACATGGCAGCAAATTTAGGGACAAGTGAATATTTTCTAATGAAAGTTGTTTAAGTAAGTAAGAAACTTTAAATGCTMAAAAAAGTGGAGAAATATGCGTTATTTATGCCAAAACGTCCGAAACAAAACGATATACATTAAATTAAATCCACTACTTATTGCAACGGTCCAAAAAAGTAGCGAACTACTGTAACGTCGCTAATAAAAAATAAAAATAGCACGCTATTCTCCGATTTACATCATAGAAAAATCACTATAATACTTTATAGCACACCCACTTTCGAATATTATAGATTTAAACAAACAAGAGGAACGAATTTTTCAAAACTGTATCATAAGTGCAACCTAACTGTCCTAACCTAATCTGCATGGCTGAAAATACCAATACCTGCATCAGTGTACTTATCATAAACATGATTGCGATTATAACTTTGAAACCGAAAAAATAATAATATATTATAATAACGAATTCAGTAAGTTGCGATCGAACCTTTTACTATAATAATAATAATATTAATATGATATGATTATATTGTTTATTTCATGAATTAAAATTAAATATTAAAATCATCATTATTCGATGATTAAGTCTTTACATCTAATCAATTATCAACAGCATAGCCTATGTGTAATTATTATTTGAACGTTTAAAATCTTAACTTGAGGAGTTTATGTATTTCTGTGATCGATCAGCGATACTTTAGACACCGCATTAAAATATTATGATGATTGCGTATTTGTGTGCAAATGATAGGTACAAAATAATGGTAGTTATCGTGGCTCACGCACCAGGAAAAATAACATAACATAAGAACATGAAAAGCGCTCGTACGTTCATTTTGCTTACCGTTTTAGCGTTGACGTTTGCGTTGTACGTACCGGCCAACATTTTTACCAGGTCCATATTGCCGTGTTTCGCCGCCCAGTGTAACGCCGTCTGAAAAAATAAACGCAACCCGCATTATATTATAATATTAATATTATTTATTTATTTGTTGTGTGTGAGTGTGTTTACAGCGCGAGTCTCGTAGTATTAGTATTTTACTTGCACGCACATAATAATATTATATWATATTATATTATAATAGGTATACCTAATCTGCTCGAACGACTAATTAATCTTGCATGTTGCACATTAATTTGTAGGCTATTAGCCTCGTAAAACTAGTTCTCGAGGAATAATAATTTTCGTATACACATTATATTACAATATTATTATTATTATTATACGCGCATAGTTTGTCGTTCCCAAACACAACGGGCGTTGTATCAGCTGCTGCCTGCAGTTGCCAGCTCCTACTCGACTCATCAAACGGTGGCGCGCGCGGTTATGACGATTCCAAGTCCGGCCCCGGATAATATAATAATATAATAATTATATTATTTTGTTTAATTTACACCTGTACACGACAGCGATATAACCCTTTCCCGCGATATTACACACCGTAAAGTAGCGGCAGTAATAGTATTGTTGCAGTAGTTGTGTGTGCATGTGTATGTTATACCATACTATTACTATATCATAAACAACGGTACACTCGTTAAGCAGACATTACACTATACGCGCCCCCCGAGGGACTTGGTTCATTATTTAATTGCGCACGCACACCGAGTACGAAGACGCGTATACTTGGTTCTATAATCTATATATTATTATTATGTAATATACACTAATACACACGTCTCGTCATTATAGTCTTTACACTATGTATACGGTATACGTATAGCCCGTACGAGGTATTATATTATGTAGTACATGCTGAGAGTTTATATTAAGTAGAATTGTAGACGCATTATATTCGTCGGTGAATTGAATGAGCTGAATATTGTTCTTCCGAAAAATCTAGGTATGTATACTTTCGTTTCCACCAAACGAAACCTAAACGTTCTTAAAAAATAAAATGAACGATTACCTCAAATTAAAAGATTTGGATTTTTTAAAATTTGAATAGTATGTATTTTGTTGATTTTTTGCGAGGAAAATGGTAATGTGTATTTTTGTCGAGAACCAGTTATACCCTCGTCTTCAGTAGTCCTTTTCAAACTGYCAAGCTTCAATTAGTGTACTATTTAGTACAGTGGTGGCCAAACTTTTTTTTACCTCGAGCCATGAAAAAAAAATTTTTTAACCGCCGGCCATACAATTTTTTATTTTTATTTTAAGTGGTCAGAATTTTAGGTATTGGTATATAATTTTATATTTATTWAAATATTTATTATATATATTTAAATGACACTGTAACAACAAAAACGCTACGATATGGCGATACGGGATTAAATATGAAGAATGTATAAGTAGGTACTGTATTTTTAATTTTTTTTTTACGTAATTGTAAAATATTATACTTCTTTCGCGGGCCAGATATTAAATGATGGCGGGCCGTAGTTTGGTCACCACTAATTTGGTACATACCTAAATAATACCTAGGTATAGGTATATACTCGGGTATATATAATACGTATAGCCCCAGATTTGAGAGCATTTACAATATTATATTATACAGTATATAATATACACACATGAAATACGAACTACACTATAGAAAAATATACACACCGAATAATTTAACGCTATTCCTCGTCATCCATGCCGGGTAATTTTCTTTACCTACGTCTAGAAGCGCGCTTCTTTTTAGACTCGATTAAATTAAAATATAATAACACACGGACGGCTCTCTAAACATGTATATCGTGAATATATAACTATTCATTATATTATCCGCACGCAAAATTTAATTTTACATTGAAAAAGTTACACGCAAACACACCTGTATGATGCGGATAATACTTGCTGCGACCGGGGAAATTAACACAATTTCAAGATTATTTTACAAAAATATTACGTTTTATTTGTACTAGAGTATTTGAATAAGTTTTGAAAGTTGTAGTTTTATTTGTATTGTAATCAAGTTCATCCGTCGCGATACGGTTTTTTTCTTCGCACCTTTTTATWTCAGTACATAACCTAACCTATACATAAGTAATTAAAACAAACAATCTAACAACAATATATAAGTATAAATAAAATACCTACCCACATTTATACAAGCACGTCTACACCACCGGCTATCATATTATGTAGACTTGGTAGGTAAATGTACTATGCAGTACAGAAATCGAAATCGCTTGCAAACATTTCGTTCGCGTATATTTGTATACAACGATAATAATTTTTATTATTAAACACAATAGCTCGTTTTGTCGGAATAGAAAAACTATTTATAATCGACCGGTTTGGAAATGCATAAAACTACGAACACGAATACCTATATAATATACAATAATTGTACTCCTACTAATGGTTTTTATTATTATTATTATTATTAAAGGTATATCGTCGCGTATTCACCGCGGGTCCTTATACAGTTATTTAACTGGTCGTTTATATGATAATTTATATTAATAACGTCATTGGGCAATATATTTATAAATATATTATAGTATGGTGAAATGTGATAATGCCGCAGAATCCTTATTCGATATATATTCATACRACTGTTGTACACTATATCGTGTAAAACTATTAGAAATATGCATGAAGTATAAATGAAGTATGCATGAAGTATTATATAAACACGGATTGTTAATTTAAAAAAACATCGTCGCAAAGTTTGATTTAAATATATATTGTACGTATTGGTATGATATGTGAACAGTGAGATGTTACCGCGCGTTTTTCGGTGTATTCAACTCTCCAAATTAGAAATAATTCCGAAAACAGAAGRCTGTYGTGGTACCTATAGGWAACCCAATACGTATAAAAACGACTAAGTCGAGACACTTAAATTTCGGAGTGGTGGTCGCATCGTTGCCGAGCGCACATAATATATAGTAATAATGTAATATTAATGCACTCATGTCGAGTCGACTGTATAGGACTTTTGAAGGACACACAGTGGGGGGGAGGAGGGTTGTTGGCTGGCTCCCCGAGGACGAGTATATATAAATCAAGGTGAAAAACGTGTGTACCCGAGTCGAATTTTTTTTTTTGCTCAATATGTTCCCTGCCTGAATGCATCCGCCGAAGACCATATTGCCGAGCAGGGTTCGCGGAAGGATACTGTTCTGTCGTCGTGCATACGTCACACTGCAGCAATATAATATAGCACTGTACAGTGTGCATTTACTGCACGGGCCGACTAAACGATACGCTGACCCGGGACACCAAATGTTTAGACGAGCGTATATATGGTTATAATAGAATCGGTTGTCTGCGTGCAATCGGACTCCTCTGAACGAGACGATAAATCGCGGTCGGGTTGTCAACGCTAAAAGGTCGGACGCACGTGTGATTCGGGGAAACGAAAAAAAAAAAATAAAATAAAAACGTTCCTCGGCCGTCTGCGGGGTGGTTCCGGTACCGGAAAACGTATCATCGTCGTMGTTTGTGCTACGTGACAGTATCCAGACTGCAAGCTGCAGTCGTCGAGTCTCGTTTAGGACGCGCGCGCCTTTTAGTATATAATATTATTATACTATTATTCTATTATCATAATTCATAATATACGATTGATGATATTAAGTGCGAATAATAATAAACGGAAAGCGCGCCGCCGTATATGCCACGGGTGGGGCGATGCCGAGTTCCAAGACTTTTCTGTACGAATGTGACCATTGTCCGCCTCGCGTGAGACGACTCTATTTCTTCCAGCCATGTACCGGTCTTTATACACAAGTACACGTGTAGTATATATATATATATATATATATTCGCGATAATGTGCATATTTGTACGCCACAGCAATTTACTATAACCATATCATAATATATACATCGATATATTATAATATATACTTATATATTATATTATTACTATTATTATTGTACGATGAACGCGCGCGCGAGGAATATGTGGCGCGACATTTGACCCCACATAATGTATATACATACAGACATAGGTAAATACACATTATTATATTATGCGGAGCCCGTTCTCGATTTAACACGTGTACCAGCGCAAACGGCTACTATATACGATGTTATTATAATATATTATATCGTTGTAGGTATATACGGTCGGCTTCGAGTTTTCTAAATAGTTTCTTCTTCAGATCTTCTTATCTCGCGTGYACTATCTGCATCGCATTGTGTTATAATAATAATATTATCATTACTGTATCATCGCTTTGCAGTAGAATATAATATACAGCCGGCAGCACAACTCACGCGAGTGGCAAGTATTAACAGCTTGATTGCGGCTGCCGTCCAGTTGGTCGTCGCGTAGTCTTGACCGCGCGTCGCAAGCATTTATAATACATAATAATAATAATAATAATAATAATTAATAATAATATGTAATAACACATCATGAGGGTTTGCATTAATATACGATATATATATATATATATATATATATATGGCTATATTATGTAGTCAATGTGTAACAATTATTATAATGTTATTACGCGTACGGGTGTGGCTATTGAGCAAATGCGTGACGTATGTCTGCGCAAAATATTAACCGCGTGAAAGTATATACATAGGTACTTGAGGCGGGTAATGCAGGAATTACTAATTTGAAATGTATTATTTCAATTTTTTTTGAAATGCTCAAATGTTTCGATAGAACAAGGGAGTTAATGGGGGTGGCATAAAATATATAGTCATCATTGTCGACTAATAGTCAAATATGTCAATGTTTTAGTCAAAATATGTAATCGATCGTTGAGATACCGAGCTATTATACGCGTGTGTGTGAGAAAAACGAAGTGCTACTTCATAATCTGCAATTAGTTATATAATACCTATTTATATGCCACGGATATTTTCGATGAGAATTTTTCGACCTACTCCTTCCCACAGTTTTCGCGCGTGTATGCCGTCGGCATATCAATGTGACGTGGTTACCTCGGCGATGGCAAACTAGATGACAGWACTCATATAACAATATTATAATTTCTTACATTAGGGACACAGTCCTATCTAYAGAATATACGGCCATTGCATAAATTTATTAGCTGAGTCACTCGTATATTATATCGTTAAATCGTTTGAAAATGATGGCTCCTCCTATYGTGGCCAATGCGGCCATGGAAAAGTTGACCGTGCACAGTGCCTCGTACCGGCCGCTCCCGCTACCGTTGCCAGTGCGCCGCTGTCGGACACCCGTTAAACGGACGCTGGCTCCGTCGGTCGTCATTACTGCACATCGGGAAGCATATCGGCAAAGAGACCCACAAGAACCGATCAAGTCGAAGCCACCTCCTGACCACGGATTCCTGGCCGGAGACGGCGTTGACCGTTTCCACTGCACATCGTATAAAATGCATTATCCCGCAGTAAAAGACGGACTGCACCGTGGTAATAATTGCAGTCAATTAGTCTAACGATACCGTTCGTTTGCACTCCAGTACTCCCCCCGTCATCCGCACCCACCCAAAAAAATAGTACTCGAGAAGCATATGAGATAATTAGTTTTATACATTTATTAGGTAATATAATACATACGATTCTCGAAAAAACGCGTTAACTCCAATATAATCGTTTGACGTAAATAAAGTATATATACATATATATAARACGACACTGGTATATTTATGAAATGTACGTATCAACATTTTATGAAAATTTTGAACAGCATTATATGACGTACCTACATAATATTATTATTTTTATTCATCGTGTACAATTCATACGATAACAATAATAATCGTTTCAAAGCATAATAAAACAAAGGATGGAGAAGGAGGTCCTATTTGATAAAAATATTAAACGTTTATGTTGCCACCTAATTCTTGAATGCCGTAAAATACAGAACATTTGGTCTTTCAGTATAATGTATGATAAAATATGATCAACGAATATTTCAAAAACCACAACTTAGAATATTTTATCATTATTTAGAACAGCGGTAAGCCACAAGTTTTGGTTTAAATACCTTGAATATAATATTATACTGCGGAAGTATACATACATCACATAAAGTCAGAGGATGTAATTAGTGCAATAATGCAAAGTGTATTATAATAAGTAGAGACGTGAATTTTGCGGAATTTTATGATTTTTTGATAATTACCTATATAAAATAGTATAATATCAAATATGTATACTGTACACATGTACATAATGGCCTCTAGTAAAAAGTAAAAAATATTAATTTTTACAGCTCGACCGGTCACCCCTCCCGTCCGCCGTTCGATGGCACACGTTTCAATGGAAGCGGAGACGACTACCGGCAACACGTACCGCCGTCCAGCTACGACGAAACTTTGGCGACGCCCTCCGAGTGCCTACATAGTGTCACCGGAACCGATGGAAACGACATCAGTGCACCGAGCGAGTTACAAACCACCGCCGTGTGATTTTGACTCAAAGGCAAAGGCTGATATCTGCCCAAGACGCGCTTWTGTCGACGAATCGCTAAGGTCCACGATGCCCATCAATAGTCACACCACTTACACGACTTCATATTACACGAGACATCCGAATTTAAAACTTCTAGGACCGATACCAGAAAAATTGCGTCAGATGCAGGGGTCGAATGAAGCCTCAAAAGCCCACAACTATAAAACATTGAACAACAATAAATTGGTTAAATGTACGAGAAAAATTGAACACGCAACATAAATACCTTATATATGAATAATGATTTATCAGTTTAAATTGCAGTCGTTACAATATGTGATATTATGCATGATATATATTGATAATGATAATAATATGCATATGTCGACAATTAGGGGAACGGGGTGCAGAGAAATACGATGCATATATATTATACACGAAACTAGGAAATCGATAGAAGTTATTTTGAGATTTATTGGATGTTTTAAACTAGCAAATCTCGAAATACTAAATTTGCTGCAACACCCCTTACGTGTATAATATAAATTGTGTGCATTATGCGAATAACGCRCGATACATAGTGTTAAATTCTTACACCCCTAAAATGCATCGGCCGTACACATTATGGCACCCGACATAGCTTCCTGTTGTGTATTGTATTATAGCTGCACTGTTGCGGTTTGAATGTGCATTTGGATCGTGTGCTTTTCACCCGCACAATTAAGCGCGGCCGGTAAATCACAAGGCTGCTATCATCTGTAGCAAATTGCCCGCCGTTAATATACCCCAAAATRCAATTTATACGTAGCTAGTTTTCTCTGCAAAGCGAGTGCAATTAAACGCACTGAGCAACAAGTCRCACGTGGGTATATCCGTCGTCGTATAGTATACGCTACTGCGCCGGGCAATAAAATAATTTCGAATAATTAAAACGTCTTAGCAACACACGGTACGCAAAATACGATCATGGGAAATTCAATTAAAGTCTGCGGGACGACACGCTTATTATAGATAATTATTATACTAATAAACTTTGTTGRCACTTATCGCGCATATAATGTACTTTGCACACAGCTGTATATACGCACTGAAAAAGAAATATGCGTTCGAACAGTACCGTAAGATAATATTATAATATAATGTAATGACTAATGATAATAAATCAAGTGTGAATCAAAACACCGATTTATTAAACGTTCACGAACGTGAATTTTTATAGTTTGTACAGGGTAGGGTAGCGAAAAGGGTGATTTTCGTGTATAACTATTATTATTATTTGTTATCCACAGTTCGCATAATCTAACTATATATAGAATAAACGACTTTTCGCTGAACCACCCTGTATAATATTGGACTAAAAATAAACTCATTATTTCTTTCTATACTGGTGAGTGCATATACTACAGAATGCACGATTTCCAATACGGTTTATTGTTTAATGTTTAATATAAATGCAATATAATGCATACGCCATACATATATAATATGTTTGTATATAATATATATACTGCTGCATTACGAGAGGAGGGAGAAAACGTTATTTATATTTAATTTAGGCGACGTCGAAGTGGCAAATTTTCGGTGTTGAATTTCGAATCGCAAAAGTTACGACCAGCGTATATATATATAGCACACAAACACACGCTGCAGACGTACACAATTCGCRCATACCTCCCGAAGACCCGAACGGATCTCAATAAATCGAGTGCGGCCCTGCAGTGTACCTGTACGGACCGGGCTCAATAAATCTGTACGATTTTTATCCCCGTGGACGGTCGGTCGTAAGTACGCACATGGCACATATATATACTCGTGCGTCAGTGTATACAGGTATCTATGTATAATATAATGTATATACAATATAGTGCCGACTGCCGAGAGATAACCGGCTGAACGCGCGGTGGTTTATTGCTTCCTCCGCAAACTGGTCTCGTTGCGGCACAGCATCGGATCACGTATAYAATATATATGCATATATAGACACACGAGAGACGATAGTGTATAAATGTTACACGGACACAATATAAACGACGGACATAATTTTTTAAGCGGATTTCATATCATCTTATACAAATAACGAAACGGAGATGTTTCAAAGGGGAACGCGAAATTACGACGCACCGTGCCCCTATATTATTATTATTATTATTATCTTTGTCGGTTTCGTCTGCTAGCGGCGGCCCTATTGGAGTTCAGCGCCCCGTGCGCAATGACACTCGGCGCGGCGGTAAAAGAAAAAAAGATCTCTGACGAGGGGTTGTATTGTTTTTTTTTTTTATTCCATTCGCGGTAGCGGATTTTGCACACACGCACCGCGCTCGCGGGACAAAACTACAAAAGTGTGTCAAAGGCTGATAATAATATTATAGCTGCCGACAATGGGCAACGAAGAGTTGTAACAAAAATTATATAAATGGGAGATATCGGCGCGACGATCTTCGAATGTACGCCGAATACGATACACATGTTATACCCGATAACGWGCGGGCTGCGGTTTAAACGGYGGATTACAATATTCGTACACGACACAAACGCGCGGGCGTTGTTGTCGATCACATACGCATAATATAGTAATAATAATAATATGGTACCTATACGGTGGCGGCGTGTATGCGCCTATTATGTTGTACCTATACACACACGTCCGTCTCGGAAACATGAAAGCGACCGCGGCACACTTGGACGYGGTTATCCGAAATCCGTCAACGATTCGGGAAAAATATAATAAAAAWAATAATAAGATTACATTGCGCCGGTTAGGTATATTATACTWTTATTATTATTTATGCTGCAGCGGCGTTCACATTATAATCGTATAATGCGCGCGTAAATATATTTAGTGGACGCCGCCGCGCCCGCACGAGATGATGCGAATCGAAAATTTGAAATGTTTATCATGTATTGCGGCGAGTATTCACAAAGGATGACGCGTATCGAGTATAATATGTGCGCATTACAATGTATATACGTTCATAATACGTAGGTATACTCATTGAAATATATAGCTTTTGTCGAGAGAAAACTATGTAGGTATATTCCAAAATCCGCGGAGAAGAATATGATTTGCATTTGTCGAAATACGTCGAATCTCAGGGACCTACACTCAATAGTCCATAATAATAATTGATGGATAATAAAATAATATGGGGAAGGAAGTATATCATTCCATTGCCCCGATAGAAACATAAATTCTATCCTGTGCATAGGTACTTATTATATGCATATTATGTACAACGTATATCAAAATAACGATAACTTGAGCTGAATAATTATGACATTGACAGATGTTTTTATGCAACTCTTAATTCATAGACATGTGTTTATTTTTTATATATAGGTGCACTAAACATATAAATTAAAACATTAAAATATTAAAGAATAATATGCGCATTATATTATATTTATTATGAAATGTCTTTCAGGTATTTAAAATGTTTAGTGAACAGTTATAAACTTAAGCAAATGTGTTTAGAAAACTAATTTTAATAATATTTTTCCGTCCGTAAAACTTAGACAAAGTTATAAGCATAAATTTACGGTAAACAATACGTTAAATATGTATAGTGAATGATATAAAAAAATTATTAACATATTGCAAAAAAATTAACGATCATACAATTCATGTTTGACAACGACCAATATAACAAATATCATGTAGAAAACATATTTTGCATAACTTAAATATACACAAACCGAATGAAGTCAATCGTTTATGCGATTTTTAAAATGTACACATAAGTATACCTATACATTATGACGTCGTATGAGAACAACGCGTTTAAGTACTATACGGTATACATATACAACATACGACAGAATTTATACCATGAATAAATATGATTTTATATCCTGTAGTTACTCGTTTATATTATAAGCTCTACTATATTTGCTATAAACGGGGTAAAGTGTATTGGCACCATGTATACATTGTATACATTAATCAAGAATAGTATATTAATTTTTGCACGAACAACGACATGAATACATTATGTGACTATTATACAGGCACTGGTGGTAGACAGGTGCTTCAACGGCCTTCGGCAACTGTATCTATTTTCGGTTATAGCTTACATAAAGTGCTGTAAAATAGTCGAAAACGATTTTTGAATAAGGTACGGGCTAACAAATATCTGCTCCAATATCGAATACAATGATACACTATATTATTTAGGTATAGGCACCTATATCATATAATAATGGTATAAAAAGCATACAAATATGAGGGTACCTARACAAAAGCATTCGAGAAAATAATGGTTTTTATTTTTATTTAAAATCGGTAACTTGTGTACAATACGCAAATGTGATAAATATCTAAACAAAGAATTAAATTACACGAATTTTTTATCTTGAGAAGGGAAACTATATATATCCACTGCAAATAGAACCTTTCAGAGTATATACATATTTTAATTATATGAAGGTATCCACACAATCGTCTTGAAATAGTGTGTGTGTGGGGGGGGGAGGGTGAAGGAAGTGAGCGTTAGGATACATGTGAGATAAATAGATTTGGGTGATGTCTCAGCTTAAATGTAGAAATTTGACATAATATTTTTTGGCTAGTTGGTCAACTAATTACTGAATCAATATTTAAATGTTTGTACAATAATGCTTTATTTTTTTATATGAGTATTACTAAGTATTACTAAGAGAGGGTTTGATTTGAAGGTTTGAATAATAGTTCGGGTTTGGGAAATTTTGACGCAACCTAGATTTATATGCTGTAAGCCTAGATCGGTCTTAAAAGCGATTTATATAAAATTGATTTTGTGCGGATTGAAATTTTGGATCTAATGTAGGTCCAAGTATATGTATGTAGATGGTTATTTGACGTTTTGCGTTTAGATTTTAAGTGCGAGGACCCCCCCAAGTCAGACGTTATTTGAGTATAAGTCTTAGATATTTTACTGAGAGGTTTTGCAGACAATGCCAACTCTTTGTAATTGAAGTGAAGATAAGTCATTTTTATAAAGAATGAATATAATTTAAAAAAATATTTTCGTTACGGATGATCAGCATTAAATATATTACTGCAGTACTTTTAGCTAAACACATTGTTTGGCACAGACAAATAAATTATTACGCTAACTAAAAATTATCAAAATATCTGCTACAACCAAATTATTTTCTTGGGAGTACAAAACTGTAATTATAAAAGACGAGGCGTGAAAGTAAAAAAAAAAAAAAAATACTAACCAATAAACGACGTTTTTATAATAATTATGTGTACAGTAATTTTTTAGCACGAAAAAAAAATCAAATATTGTCATAAGGTTAAACACGGTGATTTACACAAAAGATAAATACCCTGTACATAGGCATACCTATAATTATTACAATAAGTGGTCATTTTCGGTTTTTGTTTTTTTTTGTGGTTTTTTGTTTGAACGATGRTTTCGATGAGACACCTGCACGGCCGTTGGAGAAAATGCAAACCATCCGCTTAATGACTTTTAATAACGAGTTATCGAATTTGACTTTAATTGTAGTAACAGGTGATTTCAGAAAACGAGCGGCGGGGTAGAAAAAAAACAGGTGATAATGCATCCTATGCAATAAATAGGTTACACCGAGGGATATATTAGAGACAATTACCGGTAGAAACTCAGGAATTTAAAACAACAGCTACCGTGGTGGTG